GCTACCAACTTACCACTACACCACCACCACACCACCCACTCGTAACCACCCACCACGGCCACCGTCACCACCCACCCACCGTCACCACCCGACCACCTACCACCGCCTGCATCCCCATCCACCTACCACCACCACCTATACCTGCACCGCCGCCGCCACCACCACCACCACCCATCGCTACACCGCACGGTCACCCACTCCACCCACCACCACCAGCACTCCCGCCACCTACCTGCTTAACCCACCACCCACCGTCATCCGCAACCCACCTACCACCACCACCCGCCGCCACCACAACCACTACCCACTCGCTACCATCCACCATCCGCCACCGTCACTCACCCACCCACCCACCACCACCCATTCGCTACCATTTTCCACCACCGTCTTCCGCCGCCACCACCACCCGCCATCATTTTCCACCACCATCTTCCGCCGCCACCACTCGTCTCCACCCACCACCTGCCACTACTTGCCATTTCTCACTCTTTTTTTATATTTTTAAATTTTGTAAACATTTTGTCTAAACCAAACGCGTTTGTAGTTTATGTTTTTCTAAAAATAAACAAAAAATAAATAAAAATTAGTTTATAAAACTTTTGTAAATATAAACTGAAAATGTAAATGTTACCAAACAACTTCTTTTAAACAAAAGATGGTCAAGTATGACCAATAAAAACAAAACAAAAGACAAAAGCCTCGTGCGTGAGGCATCCTTAGCTAACTCCACAAAAACTCGGTAATCCTTTCACAGGCTCACTAAGGCTAAACATCTCGCTGCTCACCTACATACATAAATATAACGGAGTGAGCGATAGCCCAGTGAATAACATCCAAGTAAAGAAGTTATATGAATGAGTTCTAATATTAAACAAAATCATTCTCGTAAAAGTTTCGTATCATAACAGAACGAATGGTGAGTCCCACCTAAGCCCGAGTCCCCTCCCACAAGCCCGCCCAAGGCCCAAATACCACTGGGGCTAATTTTTTTGGCCCGTATGCCGACCTGGCCCGAATTTTGGCGGGAATTCGAAAGCCCAACATGAACCGAGCCTGGTCGAGTCAAATTTACACCCCTACCAAACACAAATGTTAAAGTAAGGGTGGTTTGGGAATTGTATTTTGTACTAATAGATTTTAATTTTAAAAAAATATGAAAACATATTTTAAAAAATAAGTTAATTTTAAACTTTTTTTAAGCAAAATACCAAGCCTTTCTCAAAGGCTCGTGGTCACGTTTTTTAGGGGTGAGTATGGTCTGATTGATTCAGATTAGGTTAAAATTAGGACTAATTCATTATTTACGATTTTTGAAAAATTGGAATCAATCCAATCCGCTTAAATCGTGAAACCAATCCGAACCAATCCATTTAAACATAGATTGGATCAATTTAAGACCACGGATTCATATAATTAAATAAAAAAAAAATGTAGAACATTTTGATTTCATAAAAACATAAACATAGTATAATATTAGTTCCACAATAACAACATTACTTTCCATAATAGCGATATACTGTTTTATAATTTAAACAACCATAAGAAAACTGGTTCCACCATAAATGTTTATTTAGACCATTACAAATTAAAAACTAAAAACTAACAAATAAAAGCAATAAAAGAAGATACTTTGAGGGTTTATAAAAGCAATAAAAGAAGATACTATGCAGGTTTGGGTTTAGGTTTTATATGTAATAAGAGAAGATATTATGTGAGTGGGTGCATAATATAAATATAGGCTATTTGTATATGGTACGGATCGGTTCCAATCCGGAATCGTAAGGTTCAATTTGGAACCGATCTGTGGACTGTAGATTTTTAATTTTTCAATCTGAAACTGAATCAAAGATTCAAAAAATCAATCCAAACTTATCGGATTGGACTGGACTTGATCAGATTACGGATTTCACGAATTCTTTACTCAACCCTAATATTTTTGTCTGGAATAATAGCCATATAGTCAAAAAGGAAATTGTAATGTACATACAGATATATTATATGTACTTTTAATAATTTTATTTTTTTAATTATGATATTATTTTAATTATAATTCATGAAATTTAAATTATAATTCATATGATGTTTAATTATGTCTATTTTTTAATTTTAATCATAACTTAAAAATATAAAATTATATATTTTTTTTAACCCATAGGATACTACGGTACTCAATTTCCCGTCAAAATTAATGAGACGCCCTTTTTCTCTCTGGTCTCGTTACCCGGAATTTACGACCTTCAAAAGACCAAAGGTTCCTTTTTTTGTCCCCACAAATAATTAGAAAACAGAAACACAGAAAGCAAAACAATCACTACTCTGTTTTTCAAAAGCAAAACTGTTTTCATTTCCAATCCTAATCTCTCTCTCTCTCTCCCCTCAACAATGGCAGCTAATCCCTCTTCCCAACAAAATTGATCACTATGTCACCAAAAATATACTTTTGGCTATGAAAAATTGACGTTGTCGCCGAAAGTAGTCACCAAAAATACAATTTCCAGTAGTGACTCTTATCTATAAAATTATAAATAAAAATTCTAAAATTGTAACAGTAGTGAGTCAATTAACAACTCAATTGGTTTTGATGGTATGTGGCAACTTGACAACTTTAAACATATTTTAATTTTGAATTTGGTTAAAATTCTTTATATACACACATCACAAACATAGGGGAGAGAGAAAGAAAAGTTTTCTTTGGAGAGAGAGATGTATGTAACAAGGCTGCTTTCCCACATCCAGAGTTCTCCAGAATCTCTTTCATTACCATCAGATGGCCCAAATTCTGGGTTTTTAGTAATTCAAGACAAAAATTCAGAGACTACTACTTTTTTTGGATTGCTTAAAAATCGGTACGTGAAGGACCTGCCTTTACCTCAGAACAAGGAGCTGCATGTTGAGTACTCCTCTGACGACGAGGAAACAACCTTTGTTCCAGTTGTCAATAAGCCACTGTCTTCCAATCTCTATTATGCATTAAAGCCTCACAGGTCTCACAAAGGGTATATATCCTAAATCAAACTTCTTTACTTTTGTGTTTTATTTTCGTACATGCCAATCCACAGTTGGACTCCCACCATAAAATCAAATAAGATTGGTATAATATTTGTAACATAAATTTTAGAAGATTTACTTAAAATACAAATTCATGCATGTATTTATGAAAAATTACATCTCATCTTTTCAAATTTCTCATAATATAGCAAATGATCATTTTTATTAATACAATTTTAAGGTATTTTATAAACCATCTGAAATTCAGCTTGCCCAAAACAGAAGAAATGTAGTTCTTGTCAATGCATTAATTTGTACCATGATTTTAAATATAGACTAATATGTAATGAATTTTTGAACTCCCAAAATATTGATAGATGAAAATTGTAGATGTATAGGTTAGTTCACCATATGTATGGGTATTTTGTCTAATTCATAGCTTGATTAACAATCAATACTATCAAATGGGCTATTATAAAAACTTTTTCTGATTAGTGATTCAAATATTTCATGACAATGTCGCCAAATTTATCATATTGCTACCCCACGACCAATATTCAATTTGTGATACTCTAAAACCTTGAGACGTAGACATCAATTTCTAAAGGCTACTAGAATGTATATGATTTGTTTGCATTGATGAAATTTATTGCTAAGTTCATCTTACTAGTATCGATTTCCTTCTACAGGGAAGCATATGCTTGTTCAAAGGAAGAAGACATCGATACGAGTTGTTGCTGTAACAGCATCCTAGATGTCCAACCGAGACCGTTAGATCCCAATGACATATATCAACAATTTCATATCGTTCCTTACCAAAGAGGTGGTCAATTTCATGCCAAATCAATTGCGCCAGATGGGATTCCTCCAAACTTCTTGAGAACAAAAGGGTGGCGCATGGTGTTTACTTGCCATTTCTCATGCATTAGGGTTTAAACACTCGGACACTTATCCGGACCCTCTAGCATGATGGCATATATGTAATTTTGCTGTTTATTTGCTATTTCTCATGCATTAGGGTTTAAATACTCAGACACTTATTCGGTCCCTCTTGCATGATGGCAGATATGTAATTATGGTGTTTATTTTCCATTTCTCACGCACTAGGGTTTAGACACTCGGACACTTTTTCGGACCCTCTTGCGTGATGGCAGATATGTAATTATGGTGTTTACTTGCCATTTCACATACATTAGGGTTTAAACACTTGGACACGTATTCGGACCCTCTTCCATGATGGCAGATATGTAATCATGGTGCTTATTTGCCATTTCTCATGCACTAGGGTTTAAACGCTCGGACACTTATTCAGACCATCTTACATGATGGCAGATATGTAATTATAGTGTTTAGTTGCCATTTCTCATGCATTAGGGTTTAAACACTCGAACACTTATTTGGACCCTCTTGCATGATGGCAGATATGTAATCATGGTGCTTATTTGCCATTTCTCATGCACTAGGGTTTAAACGCTCGGACACTTATTCAGACCATCTTACATGATGGCAGATATGTAATTATAGTGTTTAGTTGCCATTTCTCATGCATTAGGGTTTAAACACTCGAACACTTATTTGGACCCTCTTGCATGATGGCAGATATGTAATTATGGTGTTTACTTGCCATTTCTCATGCGTTAGGGTTTAAACACTCGGACACTTATTCGGACCCTCTTGCATGATGGTTGATATGTAATTATGGTGTTTATTTGCCATTTCTCAAGCATTAGGGTTTAAACACTCGGACAGTTTTTTGGACCCTCTTGCATTATGGCAGATATGCAATTATGGTGTTTACTTGTCATTTCTCACGCATTTGGGTTTAAAAACTCGGACACTTACTTGTACCTCTTGCATGGTGGCAGATATGTAATTATGTTGTTTACTGGCCATTTCTCATGCATTAGGGCTTAAACACTCGGACACTTATTCGGACCCTCTTGCATGGTGGCAGATATGTAATTATGGTGTTTACTTGCCATTTCTCATCCATTAGGGTTTAAACCCTCCGACACTTATTCGGACCCTCTTGCATGATGGCCAAAATGTAATTATGGTGTTTATTTGCCATTGGTCAGGCATTAGGGTTTAAACACTCGGACACTTATTCGGACCCTCTTGCATGATGGCAAATATGTAATTGTGGTGTTTACTTGCCACTTCTCATGCATTAGGGTTTAAACACTCGGACACTTATTCCGACCCTCTTCCATGATGGTAGATATGTAATTAGGGTGTTTACTTGAATTTCTCATGCATTAGGGTTTAAATACTCAGACACTTATTCGGACTCTCTTGCATGATGGCAGATATACAATTATGGGGTTTACTTGCCATTTCTCATCCATTAGGGTTTAAACAATCAGACACTTATTCCGACCCTCTTGCATGGTGGCAGATATGTAATTATGGTGTTTACTTGCCATTTCTCATGCATTAGGGTTTAAACACTCCGACACTTATTCGGACCCTCTTGCATGATGGCCAAAATGTAATTATCGTGTTTATTTGCCATTGGTCAGGCATTAGGGTTTAAACACTCGGACACTTATTCGGACCCTCTTGCATGATGGCAAATATGTAATTGTGGTGTTTACTTGCCACTTCTCATGCATTAGGGTTTAAACACTCGGACACTTATTCCGACCCTCTTCCATGATGGTAGATATGTAATAGGGGTGTTTACTTGAATTTCTCATGCATTAGGGTTTAAATACTCAGACACTTATTCGGACTCTCTTGCATGATGGCAGATATACAATTATGGGGTTTACTTGCCATTTCTCATCCATTAGGGTTTAAACAAACGAACGCGTATTCGGATACTCTTGCATGATGACAGATAGGTAATTAGGGTGTTTACAAGCCATTTCTCATATATTGTGGTTTGAGCACTCAGACACGTGTTCAGACCCTCTTGCATGATGGCAGATACATAATTATGGTGTTTACTTGCCATTTCTCACGTATTAGGGTTTAAACACTCGGATACTTATTCGGATCCTCTTGCGTGACAGCAGGTATGTAATTTTTGGGTTTACTTGCCATTTCTCATGCATTAGGGTTTAAACACAATTCAAGTAATCCAACCTTCACCCACAGGCATTCATGCAGCTTAAACACTTAAGCAATAGCCTCATGGCAAGCATGCTATCATGGCAACACTTCACACACATGCAAGGACGCATAAAGCATAAACACTCACAGTGTACTCCGAGCCAAAACAATAGCTAGTTAGTTACTCAATGCATAATCCTAGTTTATGTTAAGATGCCTAATGCAACACACATGCAAAAATGCAACTAAAATAGGTCAGTATTCTAAGATTGGCATATGAAATGCAACTTGATACATGTATTCAAATAGGAATTGAAAATACAATGTAATTAGGTATTGATGCGCCGAGCCCGGTTGCATGCAGGATTAAATAAATGGATGCAAACATGCGACCATAGGAATGCTAATTGAAACATGACCTAGAACTAACCATCGTAAATGGTTAAGTAAAAGGAGAAAGACGTGGGGGTTGGAAAGACATTTCACACACTCACGCACACTTTAGCACAAAATTCGCCCTTTGACGGAGGGTTCCAAATTAATATACAAGCTAGCTACGCTAAAGGCTATTCTAACTAATCTAATAATCTAATTAGACTAATTATTACAACATCAAAACTAATTAACTAACAAGATAATTAATTATTACATTCCAAATTGAAACACAATAGCTAAACTAAGCTAAACGAATATTACAAAAACCAATTAAAATGATTAAATTATACGAACTAATCATGAATACTGAAATGGCCTTGCAGTACGAGGAAGAAATGCATGCTCGGTCGGCTTCGCTCGGAAATCCGTTGCCATGCCTCATGTTGCCTCTGTTTGCACTGTTTTGCACCTCTGAAATTGTACAAATCTCCAACACACTTCTGATTCACCCCATGGGCATGCTGAGAGGTCATCGGCCAAATGGTATGGCCATCGGCCAAGGGATAAGGGTCATCGGCCACTTTTGAGTCCATCGGCCAAACATTGTGTAAGCCCGGACGGCCATCTCTTCCTGCTAACTGCTCCTTTTGCGTGCGTAGCAGTGTAGAAACAGAGCATACGCAATACATTTTGCAAGAAAATGCTGTGCAACTACACCTCTTATCATGTTTGGACTCAAATTAGTTGCTCGGGCTCTCAACACGTC